ATTTTGACTACAAAGGAAATCAAAAAATGAAGAACATAAAAAAAATATTTTCGTTTCTCTTTAATGCAATTATAATCTAAGTATATGACCTTAATTAATAGGGAGATATCTTTTGGGTCTCTCAAAACCTGCAATTCATAAGTTTACTGTTATAATAATGAAGACTTGCGATTTTATCGATGTTTCAATGGTGCCATATTTTCACAATCCGATCATGTTGCATGGCAACCAGATGAGGTAGATTTCACAAAACACTTTTTATGTTTTTTCCAGGACTACAAACAAAACAACTTCATTGTCTAGCAGAACTTTTCCTCATCAACCTAATAAGATAAACTTCTCGGATCTTTTTAACTTTATATTTAATAGCAAATAGTTTCATACAATATTACATAATGTTATAATAGAAATAACAGCTAGCATAATTCCTCCCCTTCTATCAACTTTAGGGCATCATATTGAGCAATAGAGGTCTCCGAGAGGAAGTTTCAATATTGCCATGAACACTTTTCTTCCCAACGTCTCCCAATATGAAGTTAAATGACATTCACCTGTATATGACTTACTAAAAATATTTTAAGAATTTAGTATAATTCTATATTACTCTATGATTCTATAGACTATATTTTTGTTATATTCCTATGCATTCTTATTAAATGTTCTATGTATTCTTAGAATGCTCGCATTTGCATTCTTTAATAGAGAATATTTTTCTTTGTAATTTTAGTAACAAAATTTGGCACATCTAAATTGAATGTTGTGATGTAATTAATTCTTTCGGAAATGACTACTCATATAACAGTTAATAATTACAAGTGTTATAGCATAATTTCATAATTTTCGACCACAATATATACAAATAAATTTTATGAAAATTTAGTTTAATTTTATTTATTGTATTTTTTGTTTTAAAATCCGACACTTACTCGTATATAGGTCTTTCTTTTACAAATAGGACAAGTCTTTGATCTCAAAACCTTCGATTTGGCTCAAATTTTTTGCATTAACTCCTTTTATAATATAAGAAGACTTGTATCTCGTGAAAAAATTTTGAAATTTTTGAAATTAAGTTTCTATCATTTATAGAGCTTGAGATCCGTTTAGTATTGTGTCCAAAATGCTAAGTATCCAAACCCAATATCATTAGGTTCATATCTCCTAAGAAAAAAATTGCAAATTGCAATTTTTTCCCATGAGCTCATTGGAAAAATTTCAGCTAAATCGAAGATGATGTAGTCATATTTTGCCAAAATCCGTCCAATTTGTAAACGAATGACCCATATACCAAAAAGGCTATCAAATTTTTTTATGATAATATAGAAATATAACAAAATATTTTAAAACTTAATTTATGGCATAATAAAAAATAAAACGTATGAGTTTCATTTTTTAAATTTAACTATACTAAAGTACACCAATTAATTATAATATATTTTGTAATAATTGGTAATAAATTTTTTCTTTATGTTAGTATATAACATAATTATATTTTGTAATAATTGCTAATAAATATGCAATTGTAACAGTTGTTAAAGGGCTTAAAACATTGCAAACTATCTTTCAGATAAAACTGTATACATATATATTACAACTTAATTATTTGCTTTAAAGTATGCAAATTAAAAAAAAGTTTTTAGCATTTATTTCCTATTGTTAATTTCATGCCTTCCATTTTTTAATCGTTTACCACTTATTTCGACTCATTTATGCATTTTAGTGCATATTTAGTATACACTATTCACGTAGTACCATTCACTTGAAATTAATGTAAAAATGTTTAAATATATAATTTTTGTTTAGATTAAGTTTATTGATTATTTTTTAATTAAATTTTGTATGCAGTAACACCTGCAGTAAAAGTTAAATTTATAAACATAACTTCTTAAGTTATATTTTTTAATAAACTTCGGCATTTTGTAATAACATGGCTATAGTAAAAAAAAACCATTGTTCACTTCTGCTCACTTCTGCATTCAATTTTTGCGAATTTGTAGGTCGCTGTAATGCAGAAAAATGTTAATAACAGTCAACACAACTGCATTTTTACATGCTTTGACCGACCAACCGATCGACCATTGACAAAAGTAGCAAATTTTTAAAAAATTTGGAACTTGCCTTTCACTTTTGTCTGTTCAATACTTTTAAATATTTGGCAAGGCAACCAAAAACATTTTGGTTTTGTTAGCATTTAAAGATGTGCAAAGCAGCGCAGACGTACCATATGCAGTGCGGCTGCTGCAATGTTAATGCATTAAACACAAAATAGGTAAATTATGTGCTGGTCGGTCGGTTGCTATACATAATGTGGCTGCAGCTTGCAGTTGCAAGTCGAAACATAATTTGCAATTCGACTTTGTCGCTATTTGGTCGCTGTTTGATCGCTGCACTACTCTACTCGTTGCTTCAACTCGTTTCTTTGCATACGCATTTGATCGTATCTTCGCCATAATACTACAACGGATCGTTAATCTTTCTGTTTGTGAGTTTACATACGAGTATTTGCGTCATTATTCGTATCACGCAGCTAATTTAATTAAAGGAAGCTGCTTCTATGCAACCAAATATAAAGCTGCAGTTGAGTCAATATTTTATGGTTTGAAGTTATTTACTGACTGACATCTTTAAATAAATAAAATAGGTAAAAAATTGCGTGCACGCAACACTTTCATTTTGAAGTTAAGTAAGCTGCCAAAAACAACCAGCAACCAGCCACCAACTAACAGCCAAAGCCAAAGAAACTGGTTACCCTAGTTCGTGACTTTGTTAATATTTGAAACAATAATTAAAACACTAAAAAGTGTTTTTTTTTTTTCAAATTGTGGTAATTTTAGTCAAATTATTAAATATAGTATTGTAAAATATTACGAAATGCAGCAAATGAATATTTCTTCCCTCTGAAATTTGGTTAATTACTTTCAGTTTCTTTTATTTTTCATTTGTTGTTGTTGCTGTTGTTGTTATTGTTTTAGTTAAATTTTCTTTGAAATATGCATATTCGGCATCCAAAATTGTTGTCAACCAATTAGCATTTATGTTAAAATTGTTAATTTGTTAATTTATTTTACTATTTTTAGTATTTGTGGCTTTGCATAATGCAGCATTGGAATTTCATTTCATTTATCTAAAGATTTTTGTTTTTTTTTTGCCTTATGCTTTTTAAAGCGTCTTCAAGTCAAATAAATTGGCTTTTGTTTTAAGTTAATTAATGCGAACTCTTCAACACCCTCACACATAAAATTTAAACTAAATCCGTTAAAAAAACAAAAAAAAAATCCAAAAAAAAACAGAAAAAAACAATAAACTTAACAATTTAGAGCATTTTATGTTTGTTTGGTTTATGCAACGACCTTGTCGGTAGTTTTGGTCAATTTAAGTCCAGTCATTTCAAATGAGTTTTGATGTTACATCATCTTCATTTCTGTATCTCGTCAGTTATAGGATATGCAGATTCGTAATTACGAATTTTTATCTATAACTGGTTAGATTAGCTAATAGTTGTGATGAATGTGATGCACTCAATTATTACACAATAGACAATTGAGTGATTCTTTAAAGGGAACTGATTACTTTTTACTATATAGAAGTTCTGAGAAAACTTCTGACTTTTAATCATATGTATTCATAGGTTGACCAAACAGCAGTTCTTATGTTGAGCCGCCTTTTCCGAATTAGTGTATCTGTGCACTTTTATTCTATGATGGCTGGGGGGTTTCTGTAGAGTCCCACCCATCTCACTGACTAATTTGAGTATTCCTCATAAACTTTGTGATTATTAAATGATTGATCTAAAATCTGCGTATCGCCCCGTGCGGTTTGTGATTACTCTGAAATTAGATAGTGCTAAATAGGGTAGCCTGTCGGTTTTCGCATATAGTTTCAGAGCTCTGTTCCTTATGTCTTTTTTTGACCGGATCTATTCTAAGGTCTCTTAATATGTCTTTCGTGCGGATGTGCAGTTCTAAATGCTTCCAAATATCTATCAACAGTGGTCATCTATTGAACTAATTGTCCATATATGTTGTTTCGAAGTGGTTTTTAGAAGCTTCTATATGCTTAATTGTGCGTAAATAACATTCCGAATATTACCAAATAATATCCATCATCAGTGGTCATTAGAAGTACTTATTAGCTTAATTCTCCATATATGACATTCCGGGAGTCTTTAGTAGCATCTATTGAATTGCATAGACTTAAATATGCATATTTGATATTTGGACTACAAATATCAGAACTTGAATCTTGTCAAACTTTAACGGTAGATTTAAATTTCGACATACAAACCACTATTTCTATTGCGATGTAGTGAACGCGATAATGGATGAGTTAAAACTAACTCGATTTTTTATATTTAGTGTACTTTTGAACACTGACTTATAAAAAACCTATATTATTCAGTTACTGAACTTCAAAAACATACATACAACTTTTTTTAAATAAATTAGCTATTGATTACTATGGGTTATAATTAAATAAAATTACATACTACAAAGTACAATATTTCTAATGTGTAATTTTTTAGTTTATTTTCATTGCTGCTATTTTAGATTATTATATATAGATTAGATTTTTATTTTGTTTTTTATTTCTATTGTAAATATTTACGCCCAGAATCTTTCTGTTGTCTAGATAAAGAAACTCTATTCCTTCTTATGAACGGCACAGAGGAAAAGGAAAGAGAACTTTATTGGGTAGAAATACCAAGACTATCGCAATCTAAAATGCTTTTAGGGACTTACTACCTAAAATGCTTCAAGCATTGCATAGAACTAACAAAGAATAACCTAAGAATTATTAAAGGAATACTAACCGGTCATTGCAATTTGAATAATCACCTAACAAAATCAAGGACATAATTCAACTTAAGGAGTCAATAACTCCATAAGTATCTTTATCTAATATTTGTAGTAATAAATAAATTCAAAAATTTGTCAATTTAAATCCAACTCAGACTACAGATACCGCAGAGAATAGAAAGAAACCGCATACCATGTGCTAGGGGAATGCCCGGTACTGATGCACAAGCGAAAGAAACATCTATGAGGGTATTTATGGAACATATTGATAGGCACTGTCTTTCATTAAAGAAATCAGACTTAAAGAAACATTCTATTCCTACTAAAGGGCACAATAGATCTTTTAGGTCATAATGTACTAACTCTTTTACTAATAATAATACAAATATATATATATTAATTACAGCAGTTTTCTTTAGATCCTACTGGTCTCAGTTTTTTGTGCTGTTGTTTACCAATTCAAAACATCTCAGTTTAATATTCTAGTTACAAATAATTAATATTTCTTAATATTCACATCCTTTTACATTTTCATCTACTAATATATTGGAAAAATTAATATTCATTTATAATATATTATATCCCATTTTCATAATTGTGATCTAAAAAATCTATACAGTGACACATTTATTAAAATTACTTCCAGTAATTATGTAAAGTATAGATAGAAGTCTAAACTATAAGCCAATCTCAAACCTAATGCTTGTAATTAAAGAATAATTGTACTTGCAGTACAAGTTGATTTCAAAGAATAATTAATATAATTGACTATAAAAAGCATAATTAAAGTACAGAAGTCTAGATAACAAGTCTAGATAACAAGAAGTCCAGCAATTATACATATGTTAAGCTATAATATGAGATATGTTCAGGTTACGATAACTGCTAATTAATTAGTAAATTCAATTATTTTTTTACATTACATACATATATACATATATTACAACTACATATATACATATCATAATTACATATATACATATTATTATATATTTAAAATTGTTTACACAGTTTATTTTCTTACTTCATTATTATTATATATATGACCAAAATATCATATTATTACGATATGTCTTACAAATACCATGAATCAGGCTATTTGAAGCTTGCATCAGAAGCTTGTTGTTTTTACATAAAATAATTTTAATTAATTACTTGGAAAGCAATTCAAACTAATTAATTATACAATAACAATTAATGAGCAAACTTAAGAGAACTGAAAAGAATATATAAAGTTTTCATGCATTAAATTGTAAAATTTAAACCATGTGATTAAAATTATTTTAAAAATAGTAAATGTTAAAAGCTTAGTATTATCTACAAATAACTAATTCCATTTATTGTCTAATTTATTTTCAACTTACAACAGACAATAGTTTTAAAATGCATTGCAAAAGGATTAATACTTAATCTGAATACTTTCATTAATGACTTTTAGCTTTTCGCGGTTGAAGATAATTCTTAATACCCTATTTTCCCATCCATAGGTTTTAGAGATCATAAAAGATTTACTTTAAATATTTATTTATTACCGTAAATTAAAATTTTTCGGCTCTACTATTTATTCTGATTAAATAGTCTCAGGCTAATTAATACTTAAAAAAAACCCATAAAGAAATTTCCATTTAAAATTTAATGAATATTTGTTTACTTGTATTGTGTCACAAACTTGGAAATCAATTTAAAAAAATATATTACAGAGCAGCTCATCTCTCTTTGAATAATACGAAACCTATTTCCTACAAAACATTTTAATTAAAAAAAATAAAATAAATTATAAAACTAATTTTACGAAACTTCGATTTTAATTACAGACGAAGTTACTTGTAGATGTTATTTCACTTCTCCATAAATTAATATTACAAATTCCGACTTATGTCATTTTCATTTTTGGTTAAATGAAATATATATGTAATATATCACATATTATTATGTTGAAGCTATTTGAGCCAGTCACTTGAGCACTTTTACTCTTTCTTAGCTCATTGAGTAAAAATATTAATATTTTTACTCAATGCTTAGCTCGAGGTATTTTTAAAACCCCTCTTTACGCCTTAACTGGATGATTGTTTATCACTTCATCAGACTAAGCAATAATTGACCTCAGATCTGCATACCTCCTGAGGCTCCTGTAACCATTCTGAGATTTGATAAGGCGGTGTTGGTAAGTCTGTCAGTTTTCGCAAATATGTTAGTTTCAGGGCTCTATCTTTTATGTATTTTTTGATGGGATCAATCTTGAGGTCCCTGAAGATGTTATTTGTCCTCAGGGACCAAAGTCCATGGTACTTTGAAAAGTCTTCTCAGAGCCTAGCTTTGTGCAATTTCTAGCTGATGGATAGTAGTGTTTAAAGCTTTGCTAAACGCTAGACAACCATATAGAAGTGAAGGATGAATTATTTTGTTATATATCAGTTTCCTGTTCTTAGCATTGAGATTTTAATTTCTGAATAGCGGTTGGAGGTGATGAAAAATATTGGCACAGCTAATTGTTTTCAGTTGTACATGTTTAAGCCCTGTGAATCGTTTGTCCAACGTGATACCGAGATATTCACCCACTCTCACTCTCGACGAATTTTGTCTCCACTTACGCATACGAGTAGTGAAAAAACTTTTTATCATAGATAATTCCTAGCATATTCAAGCTGAATATATTTGATATGTAATGCAAATTCTTTTAAAAAGATTTCACTTGCTGTTTCCTACTTAAATGACTCAAAAGAAAATCATATTTTAACGCCTCAGGTATTTTGACTTAATTTTTTTTCAAATAAGTTTAAGTTTAAAATACAACTTTCTTAATTTAATTATCTTTTTTAAATATTAGTAGCTCGCTAAATATAACTTAAGACTTTTACTATTGACGTAAATTCCACAAATTCAAGTTAAATAATATTGAATAGTAAACTGAACTATATTTTGATTTAATTGGAAATTGTATTTAAATTTAATTGTTAGCATTTCTTCATACTAAAGTTTTTAATTATTTTTTTAATTTATTTAAGTTGATTTATACACTTTAGTAATTCATATCAGGCATTGCTCCCTCAATAAAAACTCAAAACCTGCATCTAATCTTTATTTCAAATCGAATCAAAACACTTTACTTATTGTTTATTTATTTGATGGATTTAATTAAATCTACTTGAGTACGTATTAAAATTTAAATTGAAACTAAATAAAAACCAAGTCTTAAAGCAGCTCGAAGACTTTACTGCTGAAGTTGGCTTAAAAGTAAGCTTTTCCAAAACAAAATATAAATTGAAAGCAATGACCCATTATAACCGCAAGTCTATATGGGTTATATAGCAAATAAGTAACAAATGTTAAAAATTTATATACCTCGGAATGTAATTAACTTCAAAATGATACAAAATCAAGTTAAAAATGATATAAAATCATGTGTCAAAATGATATAACTACAATACATTTAGCTAAAGGACATTAATGGCTAGAAAGTATAAGTAAAGTACTATAATGTGCACGTAACTTAATAGTATAAACCTATTAGATCCCTTTATACAACTTTCTCTTTTTACTGAACATTCTATGTTTATAGATGATTAAAAAAACTTTTTAAATAATGCTGCATTTACTACTAAACCTCTCTCTTGCTTTTTCCATTGGTTGTGATCTTGATAATTTTATAGATTGCTAAACCACTATCCATATATAACCATATCTCCTGCAAGTTCTTATAAAGTCGCAACAACTTCTTGGATTATGTTAAAGCTGTTTTGCTCGAATCTCACTAACGCCCATTTATTGCAGTATATGGAATAGTACGGATTCCACCTGAACTAATATGGATTGGTTCCTATATAACTCGCCATTTCCAAAGCAACTCCATCCCTCCCACTTTTGTTCAGACTTTTATAGTGTTTAGGTTGCCCCTAAATTACTCCATTAAAACCGTCTTTCACTCATTAACTGTGTCTAGAGATCCACATGGGTTGATTATCATATCGCTTCACCTTTTTAAGTTACCTCATCGCCGCCCTTTATCTTTTTAGTTAGACTTTCTTAATGTTTAAACCTGGAAACCTTAAATTGTTTATATCAAACTAAATAAACTGAAACCCTTTTTATCGTTCGATGTGATGTAGAATAGAATATACCTTCATACCTTCTTTGTACATCTAGTAAGACTTTCTTTTCATATAGATATTTAAACTTCAGTAAACCCTGTAGTTGATTCGAACAAACTGGATTCACTCTAAACTATCTTCAGATTTACATTGATCTAGACCCGCATGGGTTAGTTACCATATCACTCTCCAATGATGATGATTTTACTTTGCATTTAAAGTAAAAGCAAACTGACTACAGAAATGATTAAGTAAAGTCTCTCCATATCTTCTCCCTTCCATCTGTAGAAACACTTTCTAAGCGTATAGATGCTACAACACAGTAAGCCTTCGAATAGATGTCAATGCCACATAAACGCTCCTTCTTGTTAGCTCTTCAGGTTACCCAAGTTACTCAGGTTGTAAGTTGAGAATGTAGGTAGAAACTTTAGGGTGACTATCAGCTTTTTCGCAGGCATTTTTTTATAAATGTTTGCATCTTAAATAAAAGCCTGCGGAAAATTCTAAAAATATGGTGGCCTAACCACATTTCAAATGCAGAAATTTTGTTCCAAACAAATCAGAAACCTGCTCTAACTATACTATCCGACGACCAAATAAATACACTCCACAACAAGCTTTGACATGGAACTCACAAGGCAGCAGAAGCCCTAGGGCTTCGATTTTAACTTGGAGAAGGACAATGGAAAGAGAAATGGCAGAAGCGCACCATGCATGGAACAATATATGAAGAGAGGCACCTAACAGAGTGCCATATTCCCCACTAGGGAAAACCGATACTAAGAAGAAGAAGAAGATAGACTTTTTAGTTAATTCGCCGACACACTTCGACAATATTGATCCTATGTAAACCACATGATCCTTTTAGGATGACTTATGCATTATTCAATATGAAAATATCTTAAAGCTGTGGCGATCATAGCCCACTCATCCTATATTTTTGCAGTTTTCATTAAATTTGTTTATACATATTATTTAATATCATTGATTTTCTGTCTATGACCTTCAGAAGTCAACAACTCCTTAAGTGTCTTTATCTAATATTTGTAGTAATAAATAATTTCACTCAAAAATTTGTCGATTTAAATTCTCATTAAATAGTTTAGGTGTGTGTATTAATTATCAAGCTTACATAATAACGCATATAATCATGAAAATCAC